ACTGACATCACTTTGCACTTTAACAATCAGATTCGGTCGGGGTACAAGTTGTTTGTTTAACCCGACAGCTCGGTGCACCCCATCGCACGATTTGCACACTCATTAAAACGATTATTCACGACCTGTCGAGTGTTTTCGGGTTCATTCACAGGAGAGGCTTGGAGCAAGCGAGCACAATTCAAGTCAACACTGTCCACTACCCCATGCATGTGAGGAGGAGCTGGTGTGTCCATAAAAGACAGAGGGAGGGTTGGGTGAGCACACCCTAGCTATCCGTCCTGTACATCTGATGCTCTGGAATCCCAGTCTCCAAAGAATGCCAAGAGCGCTTGGTCCTAAAGGGCCATGTTCCTGTGCTAATTTCAAGGGCTTGGCACAGGACAGAAAAATAAACCAAATAAACAAACTCAAAGCTCTCCCTCTGCTTCTCCTTTCAACCTCCTGCAAAGCTTGAGGTCCCCATCAGCCACCTCCCGCCTGCAGCCCTGGGACTGTGAGGCTCCACCTCCCATTGCAGATGCTGAGGGTAAGCAATTTCAGGAAAATTTGACTGGTTGAGGAGATTCCTTTTCCATCTCCCAAGACCCTTTCATCCTCAAGAAATAATTCTGCTAATTTTCTCCCCAGTATACTTCACAAATACTGGAGGGGGTGGGGGAGCTATAGATGAAGAATTGGACTGTAAACCGTATTTGGTAGATGTATTCCAAAATTTTAGCAAGGAGAGATTCATCCTCCAAAACAAAAACAACTATAAAATGAAGAGTAAATAGCCCTCAATAAATTAAGCTATTGTACTTTTATTTTCCAATTTCCAAGTCATCTTTCCACATTTTGTAATGACAATAAGAGAAGCAGGCACACACATCACAATCTCCCACTATTGCATTGTGCATGTAAAGAACACCCCAAGGTTTTTAGTGTTGTATGTGTTCAAATGAACCCTGATATATAACATTTACATAAGATATATTAGTCCAAGAAATACCTATCTTTATAAAACAGAATGGTACACATACACCAAATCATAGAATAAGTGAGTGTATGCATTTCATATGTATTGGAGAACTCTGAAATGCCCTGCATAGTAGAAGTACCCCTGGCATAAGTCACAGATATTTTTTAAACAAGGCCATTTCTATATTCAAATCCTGCTGCTCCTTAATTTTTCATCCAGGGCATTAGTAAACACAGAGGCCACTTTATTGTTATGAGGGTAACTTAGTTGTGCCAACAGAAAAGGACAAGACATTCATCAGTTTCATTCTATCATATCTGACACCATAAAATTACCTGTGTTTCTATTTTATTGAAACACATCAATACAATATGTGAAGAGAAGAATGGAAGTTTTCAAGTAGCTTGAGGTTTTAATGAGAAACAGTTAACTACTAAAAAAGCAAGTATGAATAAGTAATTTCATAAACTCTTTGGGTTGACATAATTCACTATCATATTTACTTACAATTGATATATCAAGCATGTTTCCTATATATATAAGCTTTCATTAAAACCAACCTGAGATAATAATCAAGAGGCAGATGCTGAAATATGTAAGTAAATAACCAAAAGCCTCTATATAAACAAACACAAATCAATGCAATAATAGGCAACACTATCGATGTAGGAATGATCAATTTTAGTCTTCCAACCTACAATAACCTCAAGATGTATTATTAAAAGTGTATTTCAACTCCACTAATACTACTATTGGAATAAATAAAAAAATAATAAACTAGCCTGATGCCAGTTCTACCTGATTCCTTCCTTCAGTCTAAAGTACTTTTGATGGGGTGGAAGGAGTACCTACTTTTTTCTAAGAAAGCTTTGCCAACTTTAAAACTACATTGCTAATTACAAAAATTATAAAAGTATTAAATAACAAAATTATCACCTCATTCTTGTTCTGAATTTCCAACCATCATAGCCTCTAATTATTTATTCACTCAGCACATTTTAATAGGAAAAACACACAATAGTGCTCATTATTTTAAAAGATTTTCGAACTACCCTACTACCTTTGGGTATAAAGATTCTTTGGGCTTTTGTTAAAACAAATGAGAAAAATGTCATTCCCTTAATATATCCTGGAAGCTCTCATGCCTGTGCCTGCATATGCAAGCAATCTGAAACAAGGGGAGGGGGCGGGGAGCATCTGCGCTATTCTAAAATTGTTTCATATAATGATTGCAAAACAAACAAGTATCTGATTCAAAGAAATAAATATACTTTGGATTTCTAGAAATTCACATCTAAAACATTTCAGATTTTGCTTAAAGTTAAATTTCCTTTTTGAGAATATCCCTGGATGACAGAATTAATTTAGTTTAGCAAGCACCGGTATATGATGAGTTTGAGCATTTAGGTTTTGTAGAGTAATGAAAATACTGTGTTCATATTTTTTCTTAATCAACAAAGATGCTTATTTACAGTCATCCTTGAATTAGTGTGGTCCTCCTGAAGCACAGGCCTCTAAACGAATTTGTTTATAAAATTCATCTGCTTTGAAAGTGATTTCTATTACATACATAATATTACCAGCACATAAATATTGATTTTTATAATCTTTACATTTTCATGTGTCCAAGCAATCTTTTGATGCCTATTCTTCCCATCTAGGGAAAAAGATTCAGGGCAACCGGACCCAAAGGGAAAATATCAACAGTTATTGTTTAGGGGCTAATTTAACAGATAATTTAATTTCAAAAAACAATGATCAGGTCACTATTCCAGAGCAGTGAAAAAATGAAGAACTGAGAACAAGGCTCCCTAACTAACCTCACTACAGTGTTTAGTCTTCCTGATCAGCGGAATCAACAATGAATATGCTTGCATTTTACACCCGCATTCTGATTTAAAGAATGAGACTAGAAAAGAGGGAATAAAACTGAAGACTAGGACCTGATTCTGAAAGCGATACCTGGGAAGACAAATTAAACTCAGGCAAAAATGAATATCCAAACATGTCTGGCAACTTTTCACTTGGACAGGAATCTCCAAATCTCAGCAATATGCAACGTGCTTTCCTCCCGTGAAGCTCTTCGGAGAGGCCAAAGACCATGAAAGAGGATTATACATGTCAGGCACCGGACCGCGAAAAGGACTTGGGGCATTTTTATCTCCTCTCTTACTCCCACAAGAATTAATTTGAGAGTTATTTGTTATCATTTAGAAAAACTTTTATGATTACAATTTCAAAATTTCTGCCTACCTCAAGTTTGACAGGAGGCCAGGTAAGGATGATGTTGAAGCATGGGAACTGGGTCTATGGGCGACGGAGGGGCAGTCAGAAGTGACGAGCTCTATTTTGCATTGTCCTTTCCTTCCCCTCCTTCCATGGCTGGAGACCACAGCACTCTCCGGCACACGCAGGGATGCTCTGCCCTCCCCAACCCCTGCCTCCCTCTCCCCAACCCAGGGCCTCGCTTAGGACTTAAGGGAGTTCCCACCCCAAGGCTACCTCTTTTCCTGTTTGAAAAGACAAAAGCAAAAAAACCTTCACCTTGGCCAACACGCTCGGGTAGAAAAGGAATAAGCTGTAGAAAGCGAAATGGAAGAGCAGGGGGGGTGGAAAGGAGAAAAGATGTCTATTACAGAGAAAACAGTGTTATCAACTAGCAAATAAGTGCTGAGATCCGAAACAGCACCAGGTAAACAAAAGAATCAACTTTTAAGGGGTAGGGGAAGGAAGCGGAGAAGGGGGAGGGGGAGGAGAGAAAGGAAAAAGGTGGGGAAGCGCACCAGCCGGTTCTGGAGTAATTTCCCAGGCCTCGGCCAGCGTGAGCTACACGCCAAGCTCGGCTTGTCCTGGGCAAGAGCGCCCTCACCTTGCTGCTCCCGCGCAGCGCTCTCTCCCCGAGGCCGGGCTGTGCTGCCGTCCCCGGAGCCTCTCCTCCGGCCGCGCTGCACCGGCGCCGGCCCCGCAGTCCTAGCCACTTTAACAGAATCCACAACCCGAGGACAAAACAAAACAAAACAAAACAGAAAACGCTGGGTCCCCGCTGTTAGGACTGCAGCTCCCACCACTGCGCCTCTCCCCCCAGCTTCATCCCCAGGAGGTTCCGAGAAGGCGAGGAGGAAATCGCAGCGAAGCCCCAAAATCGCTTCTGGCGGAACCAGCCTGTGTGCGGGGCGCTGGTAGCCACTCTCGGGACAGCCAGGCCCTGGAGCTTACACCTTTGTCCCCTAAGTGTGCATTAGCAATCAATTATTTGCCTGAGATTCCCAAAGCCGGGACCGGGGATATTCCCAGCAGGGACAGTCAGACCCAGAACGGAGCTCATTTCCCTGGTCCTCCGAACGGCAGAAGGGCAGCCTCCCACCCCGGGGCCTGCACTCCGCCTGGGGCCGCTCCGTGTGTGTGTGTGTGTGTGTGTGTGTGTGTGTGTGTGTGTGTTGGGGAGGTGTGTGTAGAGTGGGGGACTTGAGTGACCCAGCCAAAAAGCTGAGGGAGGATGCCCAGCTCTGGGGAGGTTGTCAATGTTAGTGTGAAAATGGGGAGGAAAAGCGTTTGCTCCCCCCACCCCCCCCCCCCCAAAAAAAAGAAAGAAAAAGAAAAAAGAACTTTAGAACGAGGTAGATCTGCATAGAGCTTTGTCTCAAATACGAGAGCAAATACCTATGGGTTTAATCGTTAATAAAGTCCAGTTAGGATATTCCCGCAGTTGCGGTGAGACTCAGAAATCGTATTTCCACGAAATGAATAACTTTGCACTTTGGGACCTGTTTCCGTCTTCTACCAACTCTGTTCCCTATAAATTCGCCTAGTTTCTCTTCGTCCCTCTTTGCCATGTCTGCATCCTCTTTACGCAGTGACTTTCTGCCGACATGGAAAAAGCATGCATTTCCTAAGCTAATTCCTTGATAGCACACGCCTCTAAGAAAATTAAATTTAAAAAAATAGGAGCACTTTCGCCAGGGACCTCAAAGTCCTGCTTTAAGCCTCAGTTAAAGGTGGTCAGGGGTAGCCCGCCACCCTTCGGAAAATCACTTTTACTTACCGATCTGGAGGGAAGGAGCGCTCCCAGGCCGCAATCTTTTCTTCAGCATCCTCAGACAACTTCAGGCAGTCTTGGGTGGAGGGAAAAAAAACAGAAATTGGAAGGAAGAAAATAGACTCAAACCATAGACTCAATACATCACATATTCCCCGGAGCTACACCCTCAGGACTAAGTTTGGGCGAACTGACCACTACAGTGGGGAAAAGGTCGGTTTAGGGGCCAAGACTAAGAGGTGGGTTATTTGAACTGCTGGTGGTTGGGGGAGGGGAGGCCCTGGAGAAGGGACAGGAAAGAGGGGATGGTTGGGATGAGAAAAGAAAGCCTTAAGAGAGAGGGGGGGGGGGGGGGGGAAAGCACACAAAAAAATGGAAAATGAAGTACTGTGGAAGAGTGCCTCTGAACTCTCACAGGTAGGTAGCTCTTAGAGAGAATGCAGACAGGCGAGTATGAGTTAAAGGAGAATCTAGATGACCCTTATTCTCTCTGTATCTTCAGGATCTGGCTTCATGGAGGGGGGAGAAAAAAGAGGGTAGAATTTTAATGCAAGTTTCACCTACCCTGCTTGTTGGAATGGCTGCACAGATTATCCTGTTGGAGAGTTCCATCTGTCTGGCAGAAGCTGGAGTGGCGTGGGGGCAGGTTATCTGCTGAAGTAGGAATGCACAGGAACCCCGCCCTCTAGGCACGGTTACACAGCCCCAGCATCCCATCTCAGCCAGCGCTAAAACCTCCAATCTTCACCTTCACCTTTTGCTAGCCTATTTCTCCAACAGGCATTTGTCCCCAAACTCAGCTAGACACTTTAACTATACATAAAATTAGTATCTCAAAAGCAAAATTGCTTCAATGCATGCAAGCTCCTCAGCAATGTTGTAGAAAATACACTTTTTAGAAATTACATTTATATACTTAGAATTCTAAATATATTCAATTTATCTGCCTATGTGGGTGAAATATGCAACTTGAATATATATAATCAACACACAAGAAGGTTCACTTTTTGCCTCTCTACCTTTGATTTTATGCAAGTTATAGAAATCACATTAAATCTTCCATGATCATAAGGATATTTGTATTAAATCTTGAAACATATTTGGAAGAATCCTTTCCTGCTCTAACTAAGCCATTTTCTTAATGTTTTATATATTAGTAACTTATATTAACTTTATACCAGATAAATTCAAGTAAAATACTTTAAACCTAGAAATAAAATGTAATTTGGAATTTCAAGTTATAAGTTGTGATCACTTTTAGTTCCAAAATCTCAAAAAGAACAATTTTCATCTCATTGAAAACAGTTATAACTATGAAAGAAGAAACAGTTGAAAAGTTTTGAAATTTTTTTTCCTGGTATAAGGTAATTTTTAACTTGCAAAGATTGGTGAAAATAAATATTAATGCCATATTACAATCAATTTGTTGCAAAAAAAAATCTACTAAATGCCACACTACATTGTCATGTATTTTTTTTTTAAAAAGATAGCTTGAAGGATGATAGGATAAGACTGAGATAAATTAAATGTTCGTATTGGGCAGTAGGAGGCCTTCACAGATTTCTCTGTCCCCCATTATATATGTATATATATAACGTATCCAAAAAGAATTTCAACTCCAGTCCTTAGTTCCTATGAATTCAAAGAAGTAAGTTTTAATCTTGACTTCAAACTATAATGTTTGCCATTGAAATTCTGTTTCTCCATAATGCAAATATACACTTATCACAAATAAATATAGCTTTTTAATATGACTTAAAAAAATGCTCAAGGAGGGAATCTTTCTTCTAGATCTATGTCCTTTTAACTCAATATAAGAGTTCAACTCTCCAACTTTTGATCGGCAAAAGACTATATTTCTTCTGTGCCAGTACATTATCATTCCACAAATAAAATCCCCGATAAAAGCAAACACGTCATCACCTTTTTCAGTCTAAACACATGTTTTCCCTTCAGTTGTTTTTGTTCACAAATGCATCAGTGGGGATCTCCTTTGCCTTACCTCATTCACTTGAACTCTATCACTGTTTAATACTAGCCATAAATTTGGCATCTAATACAACTTATTTGTTGGGTTTTCTTTCATGCTTCATTCTGAAGAACTGTTAAATTTCAAGCAACTTTGACCTTTGGTGAAATTGCTCTCTTATGAAAAAAAAATAAAATCATGTCCAGTCTGCTTAAAGGAGATAATTAAACTAGCCGTCTTAGTCTATTAGGTCCATTTCCTATTTGTACATAGTTGCTTCTAACTCTTTTAATTATCCTGGCCCTTATATTTCTGTCTTTCTTAAACACCTCCCTTTCTTTCTCATTATTTCCTTTGGTAGTGGGGATTTTTATTTCTTTAAAGACCTTTTTTTCTTTTCTCCCTTCTCTCTCACTTTCTTCTTCTACCTCCATTCGCAACCCATCCATCCCCATATTCTAATATTAACTGTGCTGTATTTCTATTTCAAATCTGTTTGAGTCACTCTTGCTTCTCTCCTACCTTGGCTTTATTTTTTTCTCTCTCTGAGCAACTCTCTAAGTGTTTGCCGATAACATCTTGGGGACAGATTATTTTTCATTGGGCCCATTGTAAGAAGTAGCCAGCTTATTGCATTACTGCAGAACACATTTCAGACCATACAATTGTAACAAATGAACAACTTGTCCTCCATGGACTCACCACAGGATCCAATTAGTTACTAAACCTTTTACTTAGGTTTTATAATTATTTTCTGGAGTCATTGCAATAGGACTGCTGAAACAATTCAAAAATCATTTCATGTTGTTTCAGAATTATATATATATATATATGTATATATATATATATATATATATGTATATATATGCATATATATGCATGCCTATGTATATTACAAGTTAAAATTATGACTGCAAACAAAGAAACAAATCTCTAGATTATACAGACTTATCTAAAAGGGAATCAGATAAATACCTCTACATTGCAAAAATGAAAGAAAATGAGAAAGAGGCATTTTACTGCTTCTGAATTTCTAGAACTTTAAATTGTTATAATTTAAAAATAAAATATAAACATTGGTCTGCAAGTCAGTACAACAGGTGAGCACTTCAGCAAAATCTATATTGCAACTTCAGCACATCTTTATTAGAACTCTTTCATCGTGAGTAAACAACGACCAAAATAAATGCTGGCTTAGTATAAATACAAATATTTAAACAAAAATATTTGCAGCATTCATAGTGCAAATTTTACCTGAACTGAAGGGCTCTGTGTGTCTATATATATTACATATTGTGAGCATTATATTCACTTCGATCTAACCACATACATTTATTTATAGTTTGCCAAGTGGTATAAACAAGATACCTGAAACAAAATATATAAAAAGCATTCTATTGCCTGATTTGAAAATAAACACAGGGTAAATAACTATGCACAGTAAATTATCTCTTTTTGAGTACATCTACAGAAACTTTAAAATATCAGCTGAAAAGCCTATACTTTGTTTAAAGCTAGTGTTTATTAAATAGCCTGCTCCTTTGTAAAATTTGATTCCATAATGGAAAAAAAATACTCTTTTCATTTAAAGTCTCAGTTCAAATGAAAGGAGCGTTTACATTTTACTTGGCTAAAAAAGCCTTTGAATTCTCTAGAACTCAGCTCTACTTAATAAAAGAGACAAAAGTATCAAGTTATATATGAATTTAGCCTATTTTTTTATTTCTGTGTGTTCATAGTAAACATTTTTGTAAGTGACAAACACGGGCATATGACCACAGTATCACAATCAAATTTTAAGACAACATTAACAATCACTCAAATTTTGCGGCATTTGCGCAACACAGGTTACATATTTGCAAGGTTTACCTATAAGTACAATAGGTATTAACATTTCACTACATTTAGAAAAAATAAAAGTGACCTGTTAGTGACCACATACATCAAAATATACACAACACAAACTGAAGGCAATCGTTAATTTTGTCCCCTTCCAATTCATTTGAATGGGCAGTGCTGCCAACTGAAACAACTTTCATTTTTTTTTAATACTTAGTATACCAAGTGCATTTTCTAGAACCCAATCTTTGGTCTAAAAGTAAACAAAAGAAAAAAAAGTTTTTTAAAAGAAAAGGACAAAACAATAAACGGCCAAAATAATCTCTTGGGCACCTTTACTACGAATGCTTCTTAAATACAAATTACAGTTTAACATTTAAAAAAAAAAAACTCTCCCCATAATTTAGGTTGTTCTCAAGGTCTGCGGCCACCATTTAGATCCATGATAACTTATAATACTGCACACATGGAAATCTGGCGGCTCTTCAGACTTGTCGGGTTTGAATGAAATGGCAAAAGCAGTCACTATTTAGATACACGTGCTACTATAATTTTGACTCCCAGACTTTATATTCTACAACGTATTCTCCCCACATTGCACCTCGCTGACACTCCACACCTTGTTAGAAGAATAAACAACCCTAAAGACTGAACAAACGTACAGAAATGGCTGGGGGGGGGGGGAGGGAAGAAGGGAGGGAAGGGGGGCGGCTTAATAAAAAATACCTGGACTTATTTTTTTTTTAATTATCATTTACAATGCAAATGTGTGTAAAACGTTCACTTACAGTCTGGTCCCAGGGAGGTTAATGTATTAGAGGGTTGGAGGAAGAGCCCTGGTTCTGGTGTGTGAAATAATCAGACAGTCCCCCGGACAGTCCCGTCGTGAAGCTGGGCAGAGAGGGTCTCAAGGACTCGCAGGGCAGCGTGGAGGGCGCCTGCGGCGACGTGGACGCGGACGCGGCGCGCGCGCCCATGGACGCGCCCGCGCTCTGCGAGGAGCTCATGGACGGGTGCGGGACGTGGGGGAAGAAGTAACTGGTCTGGCCCGCCAGCAGGTTGACGGAGCAGGGGTTGAGCGAGTAGGTCCCGGAGCAGGGCACCGACAGGCCGCAGGGCACGGAGGCGGCGAGCGCGGCGGCGGCCGTGAGGTGGTGCGTGGCGTAGGGGATCTCGCCGTTGACCAGCCGGTCCACGCTCAGGCCGTTGGCCGTGGAGAAGGAGTGGTTGTTGCCCAGCGAGTTCTGCGTCAGCACCGAGCTGTAGGGCATCGGGTGGCTCGGGTAGGCCGACGCGGCGCCGTTGTAGCCCAGCGTGCCGCCGGCGCGCGGGTGGTGCAGCGACAGGAAGGGCGACATGGGCCAGTAGAGGGAGCCGGCGCGGTCCATGAAGGTGAGGCCGGTGGAGGCGAGGCGCGCGCCGCGCTTGAAGGCCAGCTTGGCCCGCGACGTGGTGGAGCGGCGGCGCAGCTTGCCCGTGGTGCCGCCGATGAACACGTCGTCGCTCGACGGGTCCAGCATCCAGTAGTTGCCCTTGCCCGGGTCGTCGTAGTGGCGCGGCACCTTCACGAAGCACTTGTTGAGGGACAGGTTGTGGCGGATGGAGTTCTGCCAGCCCTGCTTGTTCTCCCGGTAGTAGGGGAAGTTCTTCATGATGAACTCGTAGATGCCGTTGAGCGTGAGCCGCTTCTCGGGGCTCTGGCGGATGGCCATCATGATGAGCGCGTTGTAGCTGAAGGGCGGCTTCTCGTACTTGCCGTTCTTCTTGTCGCCCTCCTTGCCCCCCTCCCCGTCCTTGCCGCCCTCGCCCGCCCCCTTCTTGTCCTCCCCCGCGCCGCCGCCCGCGCCCTTCTCCTTCTCGTCCGGCCCGACCGCGGCCGCCAGCTCCCCGGGCCCGCCGCCGCCCGCCTCGCCCTTGCCGCCCAGGCCGCCGTCCGCTTTGGCGCCGTCCAGGGCGGCGGCGGCGGCGGGCGGCGGCGGCGGGAGCAGCAGCGGCTGCGGGCCCTTGTCCTCGTCGGGCCCCGGGCCGGCCCGCGCCTGGGGGGGCTGCGGCGCCTGGGGCGGCGGGGGCTGCTGCTGCTGCGGCGGCGGCGGCGGCGGCGGCGCCTGGGGCGGCGGGTGGTGGTGATGGTGGTGGTGGTGGTGGTGGTGGTGCTGGGGGTGGTGGCTGTTGTGGGGGCCGTGGCTCGCGTGGTGGTTGTCGTTCTGGACCGCCTCCGGCACCAGGCTGTTGATGCTGAACGAGGACTTGGGGATCATTTTCACCTCTTTCCTATCTCCCATGTCCAGCATCACCCGGTCGTCGAGGGGCGGCGGCGGCGGCGGCGGCGCGGGAGCGGGAGCGGGAGCGGGGCAGCGGCGCGGCGGGCGGCGGCGACCGGTGGGTGTGGAGCGGGGCGCGGGCGGCGCGGGCGGCGGCGGCACCGAGCGCTCCGGCGGCGGCAGCGCAGTTGGACCGCAGGCTCCGGCGCTGGCAAGTCATGTAGCACCGGCAGCAGCCACCCCTCAGGAATTAGAAGGAAGAAAAAAAAAAAAAAGGAAAAGGAAAAAAGAGAAAAAAGAAACCACCACCGCCCCGGGGGTGAAGCTCCCTCGCTTCCAACTCTACTTCTAGGTCCCCCCCCACCCCCCGCTCCCCCCCCCCCTGCTGCTTCCTCCTCCTCCTCCTCCTCCTCGACCAGCAGCAGTCACAGCAGCAGCAGCAGCAGCCCGCAGGGGGGGAGAGCCGGGCGGCGGGCGGGCGCGTCCCGGAGCGGCCGCGGCGAGCCGGGGAGACGGCGATCGAGGCGGCTATCGCCACAATTAATTTCCCGAGCTCCGGGCGCACACTAGGGCTGTAAAAAAATTTTTGGTTTAACCTTTCCTACCGCTGGGCCAATCAGAGCCGGCGGCGTGCGGGAGCGTCTCTCCAGCCGTCGACCAATCAGCGGGCCCGGGCCCACCCACCCACGCCCCGCCCACCGGCGCCCGCCCCCATCCGGGGCCCCGCCTCCCCCGCTCGCCGGGCCCCGGCCTCGCGGAGCGGCGCAGGGATACGCCGGCGGGAGCACGCTGCGCCGCGGCCCCTCCGCGCGCCCCCCGCGCCCCGCCGGAGTCCCCTCTTAGGGCAACTGTCTCACGTTCCGCCTCCCTCCTCAGTGCTTTGGGTCACTTTGGCTGGAGCGTCAGTATTTGTCCTTATTGATTAAAGTTTGTATCCGGTTTTATGTTTAATAGCGGGGGCGGCGGCGGAGAGGAGCGGGGGCGTGCGGGGAGAGGCCGTGCGGCGAGGGCAGGAAATGGAGGCGCCGGAGGAGAGGCGCTGCTGGGCGCTCCCTTCCCCGCCGGGCCCGGGCCGCCCAGGCCTCCCGCGCCCTCAGGACGGGGTGCCCTGGAGGTGCCACCCGGGAGGGTGTGGGTGGCGGGGGCGGAGAGACCCGCCCCGGCGCGGGGAGGGGGCCCCGCACCTTACGGGGGTTGGCCCGGGAGGGTTGGGACGGGGCTGAGGCGGAGGAAGGGGCCGGCGCCGGGCGAAGCCGGGTTACTTACTTGGTTGCTGGGCCCCGGCGGCGGCGAGCGCGGGGCTGGGGTCGAGCGCCGCCGGGGAGCCCGGCCCGGGGCTCACGGCTGCGGCGGGCGGGGGCGGCGCAGTGGTGGGCGCCCAGGAGGGCCTTCCGATGAGGGATGTTCAGAGAGAAAACTGTACCGATCTCGAAATAAACCAGGTAACACCTGCCATGTCGATGCGTCTCTTCCTTCCCCTCAGTCCTTCTCCGGACGTCGCTCCCGCGCCGGTGACTCGCGGGTTCTCCGCGCCGCTCCGCGTCTCCGCCGCTTCCAATCCGAACTGGGAGCGAGCAGGCGCAGCGATCACCCCGGGAGTGTGTTCATTCTGCTTGTTGACATTGGAGGGAAAATAGGGATGGGCGTCTTATTTCTCTCCGGGTTTTTTTTTTTTTTTTTTTTAAGCCTTCCTATTTTCACTCCTTTCTTTCCGTCTCTGACATGCTTCTAATCTGGGCGAGCCTTAATCCTGGAACAACCGCACACCAAAGCAGTCCTCCTTCCCCCCCCCCCCCCCCCCTAATGCTGCTGGAAGGCTCCTAGGAGCATGGGGAACGCGCACCCCGCAACCCCAGCTTCTGGGGCGCTGGGACGGGGAGGTGCGGCTGAGGCTGGAGTGAGAGGGGAGCTTGTGATTCGGGGGCTTTAAAGGGATCCCGTGGCCAGGGGCAGGGCTAAGGCCCAGCATTTCCCAGGGATTGGAATTCGGTTCAGAGCACACTGATCAAAGGCTGTTTCATCCCACATGGGCACGAAACACACCACTCTTACAGAGGATCTAGGCGGAGAGAAGAGGGAGATGGAGGAGAAATATAAATGAAAAGCACCCTTTTTCCTCCTCTGTAAGGTAAATAACCATAAAATGTAGACATTTCTTCACTTCGATGAACTCAAGTCAACTGGCAGATGTGGTATTGAAGAAAACGAAGGAAGAATAAAAGGATGTAGTGTTAAATTTCAATTCTAATATAAAGAATGCAATTAACGAATAATCAGGATGATAGGGAGTTTCCACTCTTCGCACCCCACCCTCACCTTGAAATTCTGAGAGAATAAACTCTGAAGAGAAAAGCAAATAATTACAAAATTGGTGATTTTTAAATATGCTTCTATTAGGAATGCCATAAGGGACCTTTGGACATTGGACTAACCTTCACTATCCTTCCACCTTAAGTATGTATTTCCCCCCAACCCCAATGTCTACGTATTTTCTTACTTTAAAACCAACTATATTTACACGTGAGGGGAAATCCAAGGGTTTCAGCTACCAACGTTGATAGTGACAAGGCCCCCAACATTGACTTCTAAGCTCAGATTTCCTACGGGAGGAGCCCGGTGAGCTAATGGGCCTTTTGGACCAGGCTGGAGAGATCCCTGGGCCCTCCTTTTCCTGCTCGCTTTTCCTCCTCCCACTCTTCTCCCCTCCTCTGGCTTGTTATTCCTACTTTTCTTCAACTGCCTTTCCTCCCTCCTCCCCTCTCCCACCTCCCTCTCTCCTCACTCCCCCACCCTTCTCCTCCATTTCTCTCCCTCTCTCCATTCTTCCACCTACTCCCCGTTTCTCTCCCCCTCCCACAGCCCCCCTTCCCAGCACCACTTATAATGGCACACAAGGGCTCCCTCTGAGGTGGACGCCCGGTACGTTTTCGTAGTCGGTCTAGCGTGAAATGATTCGGTGTAACCGGATTCTTGGGAAAGGACAGGTTACGTAAACATTTACTGATGTGGAGTAACTATACTATTTGTACTCTGATATGCAGGAAGGAAAGTGTTGATTAACACAGAAGAAAAAAAAAGCGAAATTAGCTGATTGCATGCTCATAAGTGCAAGCTGTCATTGAACTGCTTTTAAAATAGACACAGCTGGGTGTTTGTGTTGAAAAATTTCTTGTGTTTTTGCTAATACTGAAATAAGCATGATTTTGTATACCAAACATTTTCAGATCATTAAAATTTGTAATCTGTGCTGGTTTTAAACACAAAGAAAAGAAACAGAATCATTTCGATGTAAAATTTGCTGATATTATATTAACTCAATCAGGTCTGTACAAATTGTGCATTGTGCTTCCTAAAATCTGTTTGATCAATTTAATACACAAAGTGCCAAACGTGGGTATTGTTTGTTAACATTGGGCATTTTATTCAAATCCAAGCTCAGCAGCAAAGTGGAGGAGCATTCCTTGAATACACCACCAGCCCTGACTGATGAATTTTTAATGTTTGAAGGTATTTCTTAGGTCAAAGCTGAGTGTGCATTGTTTTTGTAACCCTGCATGAAATTTTAGCAGGTGGAAATAAGTTTTTCTTCTGTTTACTTTCAAACAGCAAAAACTGGAGTCTGCTAATGAGAGCTGTAATAATCTGATTTTATGTGTCAGGAGCTTATATTGATTAGAAAAATGTTTTATATGCATATTAAGAATGTGTTATATTATTTTAAGGATTGCATGAATGCAAGTCTTCCAAAATAGGATATTTGTGTAGGAATAAATAGACTATAGTTTACTATGATCATATTAAAGATCTGGGCTCCCTAATGAAAAAGGTCATTTGCAATTTTGGGTGAAGTGAGCTTGAATTCCTGTTAATAATTTTAATTGGGCTTTGTAGCGGGATAGAGTGCCATATATAGGTGTGGGGGTAGGCTTGTTGAACAAAACATGCACTGTTTACCCAGCAGCCCACATTTGTCTCAGCAATGGCTTCTTTTTAGAGCTGCTACTAGATGAACTGAAGGGGGACGGGGTTCTTGGACAGAGTATTTTGGAAGTTGAAAGTCCCTAGATGAAGATTTGTCTATCTTACTGAACAGTTTGGGTGCAAACTGGGTTTGAAGGACTGTCCATGTCTACTTTGGGCTTCTTTCCTAAGCACATGAAGCCCTGACTTTGTATTTCCGCCTCACTCAGTCTGGGACCGTGATTGTTGTCAAAAGACAAAGGGCACCTAGTGGTCTCAGATCTGAAATTCTATATCATTCTAATATTTTTTCATCAGCAGCTTAATTTTGAGCTCACACATATACATCTACAAATGCACATTGTTAACGCATCAAAGTGTGAGTCAGAGCAAATATAATTTTCTGGTATATATAGTGGTGAACTTCTTCTCTGGCTACCACTCCCCCACACCACCCCCACCCCCACCAAAAAGAAGGACAGACTCAGTGAGCGGTTCCAATGGAAGAATTGCTTGGGAAATGCGTTGGATTATTCCCTTTCTGGTTGTAATGAATAACCAAGGCCCCACAGCCTATTGCATCCCGGGAGGGAGCAGGGCATTTCTTTTCATCTTTGGCGGTGATGCATTGTCTTCCTTAGGGCCTATTTTCAGCTTTCCGCGCTTCCCTTCCTTTTTCCTTGTTACCTGCTTGATAAAGGAGGGCAAGTCCTTCCTACCTAAAACTCACCCTGCACCTAGCTCCTTGGATAGGGTCTCCCTGAGGGGGTGCCCAGCGCCCAGCTCCAGCTAAGGCCCTCTTCCTGCAGATGCTCAGAGTGTCTGACCCCATGACGTTTCGGAGGGAGTGGAGCCCATGCAGAGGCATCCAGGTATTTCAGAGATCCTGTAACAAGAAAGGTTGCCCCCATTTGAGCCAAGTTCTCTGTAATCCCTTCCTAACAGCAGGCAATGGTGCTAACGTTTAGTGATTATAAATTACTCTTTAGCGTGTTGTATCCTTGTTCTGTGGGTTTTGGTTACAGGTTATAAGATTAGGTTTGCGAGAACAGTAGTGAACTAAACTTCTCAGTAAGAGGTCTTCACACCAGGGAAGTGTTACTTTTCTGCAGCAACCCTGCCTCATCACTCATTAGGGAGCTGCAGGTTGTCAGGCGGCTGCTTTCTGCATGCGCGCACCCTCAACATCCCCGGGGGCGCGCGCATATATATATATATATATATATATATATATATATATATATATATATATATAGTGCTCTCTCTCTCACACACACACAGCACTAAAACTAAATTAAGAAGCCAGTGATTAAGACAAGCGTCTACTAGGCCTGTCATTTCAGCATCCTTCCATCATAACATTGTGGCAATGGCAATTTTCCTTGAGAACCTCGAGGAAAAAAAATAATAAGGGAGAGCCTCCTATTTGAGAGTCGAAATGTTTAACTTATATCAGCTAGGGAACCACTTTGGAAGCAAGTAAGTCCAAGGTTTCAAAAATAGGAAGGAAGGAAGGAAAGGAAGGAAGGAAGGAAGGGAAAGAAAGAAAGAAAGAAAGAAAGAAAGAAAGAAAGAAAGAAAGAAAGAAAGAAAGAAAGAAAGGAAGGAAGGAAGGAAGGAAGGAAGGAAGGAAGGAAGGAAAGGAAGGAAGAAGGAAGGAAGGAAGGAAGGAAGGAAGGAAGGAAAGAAGGAAGAAAAAAAGAAAACTCGATAGAGACCCTAGGACTAGGACTCTCCAGGCAGGTTTCCTTAACTCTGCCAGAGGTCCCACACTCTCTGAAGGCAAGCACATAATCATGGAAAGGAGTGGTCCTGAGACCTGCAACAAAACACAGTGGGGAGAATCTTCTCCCAATATTTCTCCACAGAGAGACAGGTGCAGACAGATCCACGATGGAATATGACCAACCCAGGGCCAAAGGACTTTAGAAAAGTCTCTCAGACTACTCTGCACATTTATTTTGTAAATATAACATCCCCACCACCCTTTTACTTATTTCTTGAATATTGGGTTATTTGCCAGTATACTTGGGACCTTCAAGGGTGGACAATTTGTGGAAAAAGTTGAGACCCTGATTATGTGAGGGCAAGCCTGTTTCATTTCTTCACCCCATTCAATTTGGAGAAAGGGCTCCACACCTTTAGGACAATCACGCACTAGAAGGCTAATTCCTTTTTCCCCTCTGGTTGCCCAAGGAAAAGGTGCAGCTTCTTCCCCATGGTCAGGAAACGCCAAAGCAAAAGACAGAGATTTGGAGGAGAAAGAAGGCGGTTAGGGCTCAGGTCCTTAGTTTTAATCCTCCAGTGTATCTGTAAAAGAGAAAGTGAGACTTGGCAAAAATCAGCACACAAGACAATGCTACCTTGGATTTCCCATCAGTGACACACCAGAAGAAGGGAAAAGTTACTTTTAAATATATGTCAGGTTGAGAGAAAAGCTTACAGGCTTCAAAATGCCGAGCTTCCAACTACCCCATCACTGTTCTCCATAATTAGTTGGAGCTACAGTTTGATTTCCCATAGGAGCTTGAATAATCTACCTTGGGAAGTGTTATTGCACTGTTCGGAGAAGGTGGGGAATTGAGCCTCCCCTATTTTTAAACACCCTACCAAAAAGTCCCCAACTCCTGTGTAGTGCGGGAAGATGGACCAGTGTGACAATGGCAGCCAGCTCCGAGCCAGCAACCTTCTCAATTCTTAAAGGTCCATCTGGAACACTGAACAGCCCACATAGCGGATCCATCAGTAAATTTTAGAAAATGCTCTCGCTCTCCGATGGTCTGTGAAGGAATGAGAAGGAAGAAAACTGCATGGGGTGAGCAGATCAGCAGGCACGCAGAGAACCATTCATCCCAATGGCTCTCTTTGCTTGAAGAAAGTCATATGAGAGAAAGTAAACTATTTATTAACCAAATACATTTGCTTCCTTTCTAAAATCCTGGGGGAACAAAACAACCAGCCAGTCTTGCTTGTGTTTATCTCACACCCACCTGCCTCCTAACTCTGGAAGTGCTTCTCCTGGAGGTCTTCCCCTCTCCCCTCCAAATCGAAGCAGTGGAATATCCGTGAGAGCATCTTTTGCCAAAAGGTCGTGATCCCCTGTCTCCTCGGTTCACCCCGGGAGGCTGAAACCGCAGCGGTTCCGGCAAGGAGCGCCCAGGGGTCCTCGCTCCTCCCCGCGCACCGCACAGCCGTGCGCGCTGGCCCGCTCCTTTGTCGCCGGCGCCTGCAGAGCGCAATCATGCTGGAGGACTTGCTCTTAGATTTCATTTCCGGATTTTTCACCGTTAAAGTTACCTTTTCAGCCGAGATGTCTCGTGTTTGCACATCATACCGGAAGCATGCTCACAGATCAATAATTTGAGGCGAAGAGGTCATCTGCCACGGCGAACACGAGAAAAAAAAATTAGAGACCAGTTAAAGGTTTTAAGCTTATTATTTGTATAAAGCACACATCAGAGTTAATAGATTGGGGGGGGGGATGCGGGCAGGTGAAGTCAATTCGAATATTCAATTACATATAAGGGGCTTTGAACCCAGTAGGGGAGAGCAGTTATACCCCCATTTCTCTCCTGCCCTTGGGAAGGAATGGCAGGCAGGGAGCAGAGGAGCGGCCAGGATAAGCTTGGTTGGGCATGGCGTGAGGAACCAGTTACCGTTATTATGTGAAAACAAAACAGTCCGAATCCTCCATTCCAGAATCTACAACAAAAGCAGTGGGGGTGGGGGTCACTCTTATTTAAGAAGCAATCCAGATAGATTCTTGTTTACCAGTGCATCTCCCTCTGGCTTTGTGGCGCGCAGGAGAGAAAGTAACCTTGGAGAAGAAAGCAGGATCGGCAAGTTGGGCTTCCGTGCCTGTGAACGATTAATCACCACAGTGAAGGGGTTTCCTTTTATTCTCACCCTTTTCTTTTCTCCTGGAGCTTGAACTTGTTAGATAAGATAGATGAGGCCGCGAGGAAATGGAAGCGCTGAGAAAGCAGCTCCTTGGAGAGGGCCTGCGGGGCCAGCGGGCGGCTGCTGCGCGCCCTCTCTGAGCGGAGGGCGCCGAGCTCGCGGGGGCTTCCCGGCTCCTGCCTCCGCGGCCCCGGAGGCCGCCGCCACCCCCACCGCGAGCTCAGCCCGCTGCCCAGGCTGCCCACCTTCCCTTTAGCCGGAGAGGCTACACCCCAGAATCCCAGAGAATGGTCCCTAATTGTAAGGAGTATCTTCTCTCCGGCTGGAAACACACTAAGCGGGGCCGCAGTTTTCCTGGAAGAAGTTCCAAACACAAAGCACAGGGCGTGAGACACTAGATTTTAAAGAAGTCTGGAATCGAGCATTATTTTCCTCATTAATTTGAATAAATACTCTTTGCTTGTTTATGTGTATATACGCGCTCTTGGTTACATACCGCTTTTTACTTGGGAAAAAATGCTTAGCACAATTCCTCATTCTTTGTCCCTTCCAACGGAACATTTTCAGCTGATAGTGTGGTTGGTTGGGATCAATTAGTACTGGATTTTGCCCCAGGATTGCTCCCCAGGGCAGGTAAATGGAGCCTACTTATCCCCTGCGTACCCACCCCTCACCCCCACGTTCGTAACCACGCCAGGGCTTTAGAAGCATTTCAAAATCCCCAGCCTTGGTTTCGCTTGATTTGTTGTTGTTGTTATTGATAAATATTGGGTCATACACAAGCCACTTGTCAGAGCCTTTGGCTCCATCTCGCAGCTGCAGCTCCTAGCAGGGCCTTTGAGCCCTGTCTCAGGAACTGGAGGGATTGATTCATCGGGAAAAGAATTGCACAATCTCGTCCCTTCAGCTGTGGAGATGGTTCCTTAACATCTTAAGTCTTGTTTGTTTACTGTCATGTTTATTTCTTAATTTGCTCAGATACAGTATGTGAACACTAGGTAGACGTGTGTCTTTCCCCCCCTCAGTATCTTTTCATTAAAATTATCTTTTTTTTAAAAAGGGAGAATCTATTGATATTAGTTTTCTATGTACATCTGAAACCAAGAAAAGAGAGAGTAATAAATAATTGTTATTTTGGGGAGGGAGAGGTTGAGCAGGTAGGACATTTGGGGGTTGTGTAATTGGAGTAATATATACAGTTTATCTTTTGGCTGCTCTGTGTATTCCCTTTCCCTTGATACATATTGCATAGGAACTGAACCCATGGTTGGCTTGTCTTGGCATGTTTGAAGCCCCAGACACCTAACAGTATCATTACAGGAAAGAGACAAAACCCAAAGACTCCGGGCAGGGAGGGGGCTGTCTTTGGAGTGAACGGAGAATTTGTCTTGGCTTTGGGCTTTTTGGGTGAGCTTGCCCAGTGGCCCAGACTGCCTGGCAGCACCAGTTCAGGTCTTCCCCGCAGAAGAACAGGGAGGGGTGAGGATAAGGGTGGGGAAAGAAATAGCTGATTTTCGACATGTCTAAGGGACTCTTTCTATTTATCAGTGTTACCAAAGTGTACGTTACTGGAGAAACAACAAAACAAGCACAGAGCTGCAATTTTCAAGAAAATAGGATCCCCAAATATAAAAATAAAAAAGTAGCAGATAAGATGTATAATTCAATCAAATTACACAAAATTGCTTGAAAATCCAGAACAGTAGCGATCCATTATGCTTCTGTTTTATTAGTGACAAGTACAATTACTCTAAAATAAAGAACACTGGTGAATATATAATTGGCTGTAATCATGTTAGTGTTTGAATAAAAATGACGGGAACATTTAACACTTTGACAACAAAATGTTCAGAAATAACTTATTTATTCAAACAGTTTTTATTTTCCACCAAGTGAAGGAGAAACACAGTTTGCTTAGGAAAAATCAATGACTTTCCCCTGCAATAAATAAATATCCAAAGGGGGAAAAAAAGCCCCATACCTCTATATTATTACTGTTATTATTTTTAACCAGCAAGAAGCTTAATCTTGTGTTTGGGAGTCAGCAGCCGCCTGTGGGCGGTGGGACCAACGCCCGCCACCTAGAGGAAGAACTCGGCAGCTCACCCCACGCCAACGGGGTTGCGACGGTGATCTCGGGAATCAAAGTTAATATTCCCTTGCAAATTGCTCTCCCAACGAACTCCCTCCTCCGCACCCCCTCACAGCCCCATGCGCCCTACAACCTCGTCACAATATTTTCTCAGTAATTGCTCCACACAACTGACAGAAGCGCCGAGTGTCTGGCAACGCGGTGCTCTCCCAGCGAAGATCCAGAGCCAGTTAGGCAAGCAGGTCGGGACCCATTTGGGTCTGGGGAGAGAATCCACTTTCCGCCCAAATTCATCGAGCGGAGGCTGAATTGGGGTCTGATGAAGCCATGGCTGTTGCCGGAGCCACCATATTCCGGGGCTTTTTAGGGCTTTCTCGTAGAAAACAAAGCCGGGCTTCCTCTGAGGCTAGCTGCTCCCCTCCACCCCCGCCCAGACTTCCCCCAGTTACGCTTCCTTCCGCCTCCCCGCCCCCGGCAACTACCCCTGACACTCGAAGGGCTGCGATCCCAGCTCTCTCCAGTCAATTCTTCAAGCCCAGCGGGTCTTTTGATTTTCCCACGTGAACTGCTTGATGTACTGAGGTAAAGGCATTAAAGGAGAGGTGAGATCTCAGGTCTCTACACCGAGTCCGCGAGTTTCCAAAAAACAAAACACACACACACACACACACACACACACACACACACACACACACAAAACCCTAAAGGTGTGCGGGGAAGGGGGGCTGGGTTGGGGATCAGGCCCAAGAGACCACGGATCTTTTAGCATTTTTGTCCGGTGTACCCCATAGGCCCCTCTGGCAGAAAAAGCCACCTTCACTCCCAGGTCCTGCCCGACCGTTCTCCAGCAAATCCTGGGGACAGGAGGTGCTCAGCGAGGGTGCAGGGGCCCCGGGAAGAGACCTTCCCGCGAGCTACTTGGTGCTCAGGGTCTGGTGACAGAGCCGCAGACAGACCTTCCACAGGGTCTCCACACCCCGCCTGTCCTCGCTCCGTCTCCCGCACTAAGAACACTGTTCAAGCCGAGAGTTTGCTAGAAAGCCCAGGAGGGAACAAGCAAGTTGAATGTTTTGGGGAAAAAACAACAACTCTGATAAATAACTGGGCATCAAGTATCCAATTTTATTCCTGCCATTTCCCCTTCTTCTCTTCCTTGCCTCCCTCAGTTTCTCACTTCCTCCAACCCTCTTCCCTTTTCTGCCTTCTTCTCTCACCCCATCCCTATCTTTATCCTTTTCCCCATCTCTGTTTTCTTCTCAGGGGAGGAGAAAGGAAGCAGCGGGAGGCGGTGGAGGTGACCATTTTTACACTGAGTTTCAGAACCTCCTTATTCGTCAGTTCCCAGGCCTGATTAGGGAGTTTAAAGAAGACGTCCCAAGATGACGCTTCCGTCCTCCCTCCCTGATGTGACCTCAGAACCACGGACTAAGAAGTGCTTTTCATGTTGCAGAAATTCATTTTTGAGATGGTCGAAATAAATGTATATACAAAAAACAAAAAACAAGAAAACCTTCTAAAACTGATGTCCAACACATGCGTCCCTCAGCCCCCACTCATGCGCCCCAAACCAACTCCACTACCTCCTAAAAACCTGAGTCCTCAGAAATGTTTCGTTTTGTTTTATGTAAAACCAGCGCTTCCACTCAACTCCCCAGTCTGTCATTACTCGCCCGCATTATATTAACAGGCGATGTGAGCCTTCCCCTACGTGTGCAGGTTGCTAATGAGGGCCAATAAAACAGCAAAAAATGCTCATCTGTGGAGATTTTCCCAAGGCCGGCAGCGACGCGACTCCTTTCCCCATTCTTTTCAGGGCAGACCATTCCCCCAGGCCGGTTCTTTTTTTCCCTTAAGGCGGGGCTGAGAAAAAGGTCTGGCAATTTTGAATGTATGAGAGAGAGCTCACTCTATCTCCCGCCTGCCAACCCACCCAAGAAGTGGTGGATGTTTGGTTTCCCCTTGGGAGCAGGAATAGCTGGGTGCTCCATCCGTGCCACTCGGTTATCTCTCAGTGAAGTTGCCTTCCCATTCCCCTCAGCCACCCCTTCCTTTTTGCAGCTCAGCCTGTGAGCGTTTCAGGGGTGCTCTCATGGCCTCCTTCTTAGCCATGGCCTGCGGAAGGCGACCCTGCAGGCTTTCTTGTCTGCTGGCAGGAAAACTGGGTTGGAGATGCTTCTGAATATGACTGCGTATTGTGTCTGTCTAGTTTCAGTAACTTCGGGGAGGAGACTCTCCTGGACTTGCTGCCCACCCTTTGCCATGGAGGAGACTCCCTGGGAAGGAATCACCTGGACTTTTGTCATCTTCCCTTGTCTTTAAAGTGTGGCCTGGGAAGGTCATGCTTCATAGGTATCCAGTTTCCAGGGAGAAAGCAAAATAAAAGCAACTTAATGTGCAATAGGTACTACTCAGTGGGTTTGGGTATAAAAAGATAATTGCTTTCATTGCTTCCACCTGGAACCCTTTTGCTTTTTAAAAGCCTAGAAAGTGTAAACATGAAACAGTTTTCCAATTCTGGCTTTCTTCCTATGAGTCCTTAGGCAAGTGACTGCACCTTTCCAGTTCTTTCTTCATCTTTAAATAATCTGCATTCATTAATATGTAAACTACATCCACCCACCCAAACCCCAACAACAAT